CACTCCACATCATTCCACTCCACTCCGATCCTACTCACCTCAACTCCACTTAAATACATATTATTCAAATCCACTTCACTCCATTCATTCCACTCCACCTCACTTCACACTCTATTACACTTTACTCCAAACCACTCTCCTCCCATCGCCTCACTTCCCTTTCCTGTAGACCCGCAGCTCCCTGAGGTGGGGCTCATTCATGTTCTGCCGCCTCTTGACGAATGCTGGTCACTTGGACCTCGAACGCTGGTGCAATCGTCAATTTACATTTGGCAGCAGATTCTCTTTCACCACCGTTCCTTTCCTTTGGGCTAATGTTGATATGTACCGCTGATCCATCCATTTCTCCACTTCCTCCCCGCATAATAATCGAAAATACCAAAGTGTCGTCACAATATGTCGTCATGGCGATCGAGATGAGCACAATTCGGTGCATTCTCAGATAGTTCGCAACTCGTCAAAAGCGACGAAAGTCGATACATTTCGCCTCAAGACATAATGAACGAGTTGATAATCAGACGAATCACACGACTTGCTCGGCCAACAGTCACTACTCCGCCAAGCTACAACATGCATTGGTCGCGCACTTGATTTGCAGAAAAATCTGTTAAATAAAACTAAAAAACATATTAGCTGTATTCTGCCTATTTCATGTGAACTGACGAAGAAGTGGTAGCTGAATTTTCCCACAATGCTATGAATAGGCTTCTCGCTTTGATTAAATTTCACACTTTGCCTCGCTTCTCAAAAGCTGTTCCCATCCCGACTGGAGTGGACCGATCTGGTCTCATCAGCACTGACGGTGGGAGTTGAGCCAACTTCTCTGCTTGTGGACAAATTCAACTTAACGGAATAGGGAGAAAACATGTCATGTATACAATCTACTTATAAATGAGCAATAAGTAGCATAGTCGATTAGTATAGATAATAAAACTTTGCTTGATGGGAAATTTCGACAGAATGTGATACGAGAAAATTGCCGGTCTCTGTTGGAAGACTATAGTAAGGCGACCGTAAATGGGAAGACCAAAAAGGTGTATTCTGTGTTCTGCTTGCAGTCCCACGTCGCGGAAACTAATCGCTTGACCTTGTTTTCGCGACTTTACGAAGTGTACCTAAGCGCTGGAATCACCCAGTTGGGTCCAGATTGTGCATGCGTCGTGATGAAGCAAAGTAGCGTTTTGAATAATATTTTGATGATTTAGTACCTCTAGACGGTTGATTTGAGGTAAGCTTCGGCTTAAGGCAATTTGGGAACCAATATTTTGGTTGCTAAGCGAAATCCAATAGCTCAAAAATTGCACGAGCAAATCAGACGCACGGACAGAGATCAAAGCAAAATGCCGACGGACCGGTACCAAAGCTGATGTCCGTTTCGCCCAAGTCGAGGGTCAGGAAGTGCCAAATTTACAACATACAAGCCAGAAACTTTTTATTCTCTATTTCCCCATCTTTCTCCACCCTCTTCTCCTATTTCTTATACTCATCCTCTTAACGCACCTCCTTCACTTTGTGCTCTACCGATTCTTTTTATTCTTCGTTCACACACTTCTCCTCTTTCTTCTTACACACTTTATTCCTTCTTTTCCATCTTCTACATCCCCCAACTTCATCTACTTTCCCTTCTCATCCTCCTTTATCTTCTTCTGCTTCTTCTACTCCTCATTCTCCTCCTTCTACACCTTCTTTTCCTAATTCGTTTCCTTCTTCTCCGTCTACTTTTTCTCTTTATTGTTCACTTTATTCGCCCCATTCTTGTCATTCTTTTCCTCATTCTTTTCCTTCATTTTCTTTTTTTTGTCTTTTTCCTATTCTCCTTCTCCTCTCGTTTCTCATCATATTCCCCTTCTGCATCCTGTCAACACACTCGGCATCACCATCCTGCTTCTCCTTCCTCCCCTTATTGTCTTTCTTTTTCTCTTTATTTTCCTTCGTTCTTTTCTTTTTCTTCTTTCTCCTTCTCCTTCTCTTCTTCTTCTTATTTTGCTTCTTTTTCTCCTTTCTATTCTCCTTTTTCCTTTTCTCCTTCTCCTCTTTTTTGTCATCATATTCTCCTTGATCATCCTTTTCAAAACACTCAGCATCAGCATCCTGCTTCTCCTTTCTCTCATTCTTCTACTCTTTCTTTCCTTCTTCTCTTTCTTCTTTTCCCCCTCTTCTCCTTCTTATAATCATTCTTCCCCCTTTTTCTCCATCTTTCTAACTTGAGTTTCCTTTTTCTATCTTTTCTTCTTCTTCATCTTCTTTTTATTCTTTCACTTCTTTTCTTCTTAATCTCATTCATCCTCTTTTTATTATTCTTCTTCCCTTCTTATATCTTCTTTATCCTCCTCTCCAACACTCAACATCAGCATACTTCTTCTCCTTCTTTTCCTCATTATTTTTCTTCTTCATCTTTTGTTTATTTTCTTCTCTTTCTTTTAGTTATTGTTCTTCTTCTTCTCCTACTTTTCCTCGATATTTTGCTTCTTCTTCTTCTTTTCTCTTTCTTCCTCATTCTTGTTCTTTTTCCTTTACTCTCTTACCTCTCTTTCCTCATCATCTTCATCTTCAGCATTCTTCTTCTTTTACTTCTTCTCCTCCGACGCTTTATTCTCCTCTTTTTCCTCATTATTTTTCTTCTTCATCTTTTGCTTATTTTCTTCTCTTTCTTTTATTCATTGTTATTCTTCTACTTTTCTTCGATATTTTGCTTCTTCTTCTTTTCTCTCTTTTCCTCATTCCTCTTCTTCTTTTTCCTTTACTCTCTTATCTCTCTTTCCTCATCATCATCTTCATCTTCTTCTTTTCATTCTTCTCCTCCGTCGCTTTCTTTTCCTTCTTTTCCTCATTATTTTTCTTCTTCATCTTTTGTTTATTTTCTTCTCTTTCATTTAGTTATTGTTCTTCTTCTCCTACTTTTCTTCAAAATTTTGATTCTTTTTCTTTTCTCTCTTTTCCTCATTCCTCTTCTTCTTTTTCCTTTACGCTCTTACCTCTCTTTCCTCATCATTTCCATCTTCATCATTCTTTCCATCATGCTCAGCATCCTTTTTCTCTTCCTTCAGCTACTTCAACTTCTGAAATTGTCCATATTGTTGCCGAATTGGCCTTTCCATCTTTTCATTCGATAAGTTTACTATGCGTTAGGTCGTCTTTACAGCCTCTTAGCAACTGTTTTCTCTCGTAAACTCTACATGACATGAGGTGGTTGTGGTAATTTGGCTTCATTTCAGGCTGTGATAGAAGTCGTCAATTTCAGGCAAGAGGCCATCTTTGATGTGGGCAAGATGATGCTACCCTCGTCGGAGCAGCTTCATCGTCGTCGCCACGACCCCTCCAGACTGGCACAATTCGATTGCCACCCACCCCTTCTGTCTGTCTGCCCCAGTTCTCACCTGCCCCTCCCCCCCCAAACACACTCTTCCTCCCCTCTTTAGCCCCCAGTTCGAGTTTCCTCCCGCAGTGCCCATCCACCACTTCAGCTCTTCTCCTCCTCTTCGGTTCCACTCGAGACCGTCCCGCTTGTCGCTCTGCCGATGGGCCCAACTGTCCGGCCGGAACGACGATGAATGATGATAGCGACCAAAATAGTTTGTGACAGAATTGCTCCTCCTCCCTTCACGTTTGAGGCGGTGGTACGTGAACACCGGACGAGCCAGTCAAGATGTGAATTGGACATACACAAGCATTGTGTGTATGTGTTTGTGTGTGTGTGTGTGTGTGTGTAGTGGGTGGGCTTGATGATATGGACTGAGGCGAGGGGGGAGAGGGAGAAACAAGAGGTCATAGATTCACTTTCATGGCTTCTGCTCACAGGCTTGCCGGGCGGGTTGGAGGAGGCAGGAGAACTTGTTCACTTTCTGGTACCGTTTAAGTTGCCTTGCCTAGCGTCATCTCGTCGGCGAGATGGTACATTCAATTAGGCAAACGCTTTAAGCCTCGGCGTCTCTTGTATCCGGGGCTAGGCTGAAGCGAAGCCGGTGTTTTTTTTGCACCCACAAGAAAAAACTGTGATTTATTGCCAGTCGGCCAAGTCAGGCCCGACCGGGACGTCTTCACGACAGCCATGCCGATTGCCAGTTGTGTCGACACGACGGGTTTTTGTGCAACTTCCGCCAGCTTCTCACGACGCGCCTCTCGAGGCAGCACTTCAGGCGGCCCCACGTCGACCGGCCCGGCTCCGTGGGCCCACTGCGCTTTGCACAAAGAGCCGCCTTGCCAGACTCACCAATTCACATTTATTTATTTGCCCGACCATGACAGCCGATGCCTCGAGAGGCCTTACACGCTTGGAGGCAGTAAATAATAAGAGGCCCATGAAATAGTCAAACTCGTCAGTCCTTTCGCCTCGAAATTGTCACAAGACAACAAAGAAAGCGGCATCGTCCGATACGGTAACACGTAATGACGCACAGTCGTGACTGTAAGACGGTCGGACGGAATTCGGACGCTTCACAGCCGCCCTCAGAGGAGATGCGAAAAGTCTTCAGTAAATTCGATACTACTCATATAGGCATAGTAGGCTAGTAGGAAACACTGTCGCCTACCGAAATGGCATGCAGTTGTCGAAAACAATGGGGTGAAAAGTTTGGATACAGCCCAAAGCTGATTAGGAGAAAAAGTTCTCCCAGTTTGAAGCACAACTCTTTTTTGAAAAAACAAAAAGATAACTGCAACTCATCTTCAATGGAGAGCCAAGGCCAAATGAGAAATACCATTAAATTGTGGAATTTTTCCCATCTGTGAAGTTGAATTTTCGTATTATTTACTAATAATGTGCATATATTTGCAATATTCTCCAGTAAGAATGCAGCCAAGTTACATTGCTAAAAATGGGTCCAAGAAATATCGCCTACATTAGAACGAATCGAGTGCTTATCTGTTATGAATGACAATTGCCATACCGGGAAGCAGCAATAAACTGTGAATAAATCCTCTGATTAAAAATTCCACTTAAAATTTACACTGAGCTAATTTTCCATATACTTTTTAAGTTAAGATTTATTTAAGAATATTTTTAATTTAAAGTGCAGCTTCCAAGAAAATTATTATGTCAAAAATGGCCCTGTAATAATACCTATGTTTCTGCTATTTTCTAACTACTACATACTACTACTGAATAGTAGTATGTACTTTTTATATATAAATATTTTAGAAAAATCAAGGTGAACGCTCCTGGGTATTTCTTGAACGTTGGCCTCTTGGCTAGAAGACACTTCTTATTCTCACCTT